AGCTAACTAGCAGCCAACGCTGATGGCTGACTCGCCGCGATGCCGTTCTTGGGATTGGGAGGAAGCTGGGCTTTCTCCAGATGAGCTTTTGGCGGAGTCCTCTGATGATAGTGACGTCGTCGAGTTGGAAACTGCAGATCCTGCCGCGATAGCGAGGAAGCGGTCTTTTCAGAAAACAGCTATTACCAAGTCTGAAAATGTTTCCAAAAGGACGCGAATAGCTCATGGACAGAGCACTGAAGTGGCCATCAGTGCCGAAACACGGGTGCGGAGCCGCTTAAAAGCGACTGTGGCAAGTTAGTGTGCCTGGCATGCCATACAACATTGCCAGGGAAGAAGAGTATAATCATGTCCCATATTGCTACCGCGAGACACAAACAAGGAAAGTCTCGTTTGGAGAGGGAAACTCAGAGGCAGAAGCTGGTCAAGGAGTCCTTCTTGGCGTATCAGAAACGACTTGGGAAGGCTCTAGCCGGCACCGGTCTTACTGAGGCCGTCCGAGTCTCTGCGGCGGATCCAGATTGTGCGTTCTATGTTGCATAGCATGGGTGCAATATTATAGCGCTTTTCTTAGCCCGATACCGCAAGGTTCAGGAGTTTATATTCCATCCGACGGAGCATTATCAGCATTATTTGGAGCATTATATGGCCTTTTGTGGAGCATTACTGAGAGCATTATATCCCATATTACCGAGCATTATCCGCCAACACCTATACCGGACCCGATGGCATCCCTGCCAGAGTTCTGAAGCAGTGCTCAAAAGGTTTGGCTGCACCACTTGCCAAGCTGTTCTCACTCTGTTTCCGGTGCCATGTCCAGCCCAGCCCTCTCTCTGGAAAGTAGCCCGTGTGGTCCCGACACAAGAAGCAATCTCACTCTGCTGTTAAGAACTACCGACCTGTGTCCTTGTTATCTGTTGTCTTCAAAGACATGGAGAAGATTGTCAACACCGCCATAATCAATCATCGTGAGCATGAAAAGGGCCTGTCCATCCACAAGTACGGATTCCGGCAGGGGCACAGCACATCTGACCTTCTCACGTCTCTCAACCACTCCTGGGTTTCCGAAGTCAACCGTGGTGGCGCAGTCCGCGTGCTGGCTGTAGACATAGCAGGAGCATTCGACAAAGTTTCACACCGAGGCGTGCTTCACAAGGCTGCGTCCTACAGCATCACTGGTCCCCTCCTCAACTGGCTGTCTGACTACCTGTACGACAGAAAGTTGCAGGCAGTAGTCGGCGGAGCATCTTCAGAATCATACACGATTGATGCTGGGGTCCCACAAGGAAGCATCCTTCGGCCCACACTGTTTTTGCTGTACGTGAATGACGCCTGCGACGTCCTACCGGAAGGGATCACCCCGGCTGTTTACGCAGACGACACCACGCTTTATGCCCACATGCCAACGCCACATGATGTGACAGAAGTGTGCCGCAACCTCCAAGCTGGTGTGGATGCACTTGCTGAATGGGGTGCTCAGTGGCGCGTCACTTTCAAGCCAACGAAATCACAGGCCATGACTGTGTCCTGCCACCGCAGACCCTGGGAGACACCACCCATCCAGTTCAACGGCACAGCGGTCCCGGAATGCTTGCGACTGAAGCTCCTTGGAGTGACGTTTGATGCCCATCTATCATACTCAGAGCACATTGTAGTCTGAAGGTGCGATAAGAAAATTCGCCGCACCATCGCTGCCCTCTGCCTCCTGGATAAAGCCCTTTGCGATAATTCTACGTCTCTTCTCTCGAGAATGGCTCCACCCCCGACACACCAGCCCAGGACCACACGCCTCACCCGCCAGGCTGTACGACTATCCACCGCGCATCCCCATCAGTTACAACATGTTCTGCCTGCCAATTCCCGGAACAATGTGAGCCGAGCCTGTCCCCACTCCGTCATCCCAATTTGGAACCAGCTGCCTTCCTCTATCATTCCCCACCCATTTCACCCAAAGAACATCCAAAAGTTCAAGACAGCAGCTTATCACCATCTCCTCAGAACGAACTGGCACTGGGCCACTCATAGCATACGCGAGTAAGAGGCTAAAAGTCTAACAGCGTTCACATCAATACTCAACATTATTCTTTAGCTCACTGAGCGATACAATCTCTCCATTTACTTTCTTCTGTTTTCTTTTTCAACTTAATCCTCCCTACCCAATCTCCCTTTGGTGCGTCCATGGAGCTATGAAGCCGAGACCTCTGGTCGGCTGAGCTTGATGGGCCCCACCACCGCACTCCATTATTCACCCCAGTGTCTGGGGATATGTGGATTTTGTAGAAAAAAAAGAAGAAAAAAAGGTGAAGATCAGATACGAGTCGTGCAAACAGCCGTGAATGCAGATTTGACAGGCGGCGCCGATTTCTGCTCTGGACTAGGGGTGTGCGGATAATGCTCGAAAAGGTGGCAGATTCTGCTCGAAAAGCAGTGAAAATGGCAGAACCATACAAACCTTATGGCGTGCAATTCCTCGAATTCTGCTCCATTTCTTTATCCACATACCAAACATGCATGAACCTTACCAGAAAAAGTACCGAATTCTGCCAATTGTTCTGCCGGCATTATCCGCATATGCCTACTCTGGACGCCACGCGTCGACAGTGTGTAGTAAGTAGGTTTTTGTCAGGGAGTCGTAAAAGCTGGTTTTTGTTTTGCTTCGCCAACCTCCCGCCACCACTCCGGTCCGGCATTCGCACACTCAAATGCTGCGCAAGCGCGCTGGTCGAGGTAGAGTACGGACTACGGCGCCGATGCCGATGGTCACCAGGTCGTAGACTAGGGTAGACGTAGGTCTACCAGTGCCGTCTATATGTACATACTAGTAGTAGTGCTAGGATATCGAGAGGTTCTGCTACACGGAACTACAGTGCTGGCAACTGAAATCCGACCCCCTGAGCGGTGGGTTCACATTCTAGCGGTCTCTGTTTCGTAGTTTTACCATCCCGTGTTGGCCCTTTGCGGCGTGAGCGCACCGCTCAGGGGTCGGATTTCAGTTGCCAGCACTGTAGTACGTACCAAACTCCGTGTCAAGCAAAAATCAGCTACTGTTGTAGTATCCCTGCTTTACAGTTTACACATGACTAGTAGTACATGTATTTTGCATGACTCTTATTGTTTAGAAGCATACAGTACTTCCTACATTTACGATTGTTCTTCCATGATCCTTGCATGGCGCCACTACACACTGGAGAGTACTTATACCACCACTAATTATATGTAGTCTTCATTGTTTCCAAAATACAATACTTGTACCGCTATGCTTCATTTGCAAGAGGTCCTTGTGCAGTTGTATGGACTTATCTTCACTGCGATATCAGTTTCATGCTCCAATGCTTCCTTTGTAGCACTGAGGCGTGCTGCGATTAATCAATGGCATTTCCAGATTGCTTGCTACACTTTCACATACTCTCTTTAGCTGTTTTGCTGCCTGCTGCTTGTTTCCCGCAATAGACACCAGCTGAAGCTTCCTAGCTGGCCCCCTTGCCAACGGCCTTGTTAGATTCTGTATAAGTTCTCTAGTTTGTATCTCATACGTTGTTGATTGAGTAGAGGCCTGGCTAGAGAACAGTTAGGTTTTGCTCTATGTTCATCCCTAGTTTCTTTTGGAGTTCAATCAGCTCAGATCAGAGAGAGAGCAAGTTCACTTAGGAATATTTGATAATAAGATAACCTCCAGGCCGTGCCGGAGTAAGTTCTGAAACGTTCGTTGACTGACTGTGGGTAGTTGCCTCCTTGCCTTAGACCACGCACACTACACTGGCACTGCTTCTCCTTCTCTACAAAGCGAAAACTACGAACTCCGCGCGCGACAAGTAGCAGTTAAATTTATTAGAAAATAATAATATCTCGCTCGCGCGCTCCTCAGTCAAAAATAATGATGCTGTAGCTGTACTGTGTTCACTGCATGCTGCTGCCACTGGAAACACGACATGTGCAGGTGACGCGACTTTTGTTGGTCACCACAGCACTGATGCCATGGCACTATGGCCAAGTAACTACGCGTTGTCAAGAAGCTGTGACGTCAGACTTCGACGAGAGATGCTAGCTGTACAAAGCCAAAGGAACTACGTACCAAACTCCGTGTCAACTGCACAGTCTGCAGTGCATGCAGTGAGTTGAGTAAGTTTGACACGGATTTTTCGTACGTAACGTTGCACCGGTTCTGCCGTACGTAGCAGGCGCTCGATCGAACTCCCCGCGGGCCCGCCACATGTATGTGTACTTTGTACATACACTGTACGTATGCGCTCAGTTTTCACGCGGAGTCGAGTCGAGTCCAGTCCGTGTGAAGCGCGCTTCACACGGAAAACGATATGAAAAAAATCCGTATGAAACTAATCCGGTATACCGGTACCGCGCGAGGCGAGGTTTCCATACTTTGGCACGTTTTACCGTCAGAACCTCACTACATGTACTAAAAGGTACATGACTGTACGAATAACAGTTAATTGTACTGTAGTCTGTAGCGGACATGGAAATCCAGTCGATTGACCGGGGCCGGCGCCCTCAGTGCAGTGTGTACAGAACGCTGCGTGCAGTGCACAACGTCATGTTGATCCGATGCGACCAGCGGTCCAGCGCACTGCAGCGCATAATGCATGTCCACGTAACTCGTTATGATGGTTATCCACGGCTCCATGGCCAGCGACCTGGGGGCCTGGGGCCGCCAGACGTGTGACCGGATTTCCATGTCCACACGACATGTCGACAGTACATGGAGTCATGCCTCATGGACTGAGTGATGGAGCCGCATTGGGTTTGGAGGTCTCAGTCTGAGTCTGGCGTGCTAGCTACAGCCAACAGGCGGGGCGCCGTAGGGTCTATGCTGTACTCCAAAACCTAGCCACTACATCATGACTGTAGTAGTAGTACCCAGAACTGCAGAAGTCCGACGTCCTCTTCGTGCAGGCCGGGCGGTAGACCTAACAGCTACACTCTACAGACTCAGTCATTACCCTTCTGCCTTTGAAGATTTCCAAGAAGTCCCTTGTTCAACCGCCACTCACTTTCGTCCTTAGCAGCTTGCTTCGGTACGTGGTGAGAGACGTTTATCATTGCTTACGTTTTTCAATAGTCTCTCGGACACACAGTTGTGGAAAACTCCAGTACTAGCTGAGCGGCAGCGGAGGGTCGTACTGACTCGCACAGTAGTTTACCAACCGGCTGATATGCCCATGGCGGCGGCTTCAAAACCCTGCAGAGGTTCCACTTGTCGGAGTGTGCTGCTGACGGCTGTCGTTGTATTGCTGCTCTCGCCGAGTCATCCGGTGTCCTCTCTAGACTGGTGTATCCCCTGGTACTTCTGGCGCGAGATTGAAGTCGGTAAGTGGCGTGCCGATGATTTTATAATGATTGCGAGCCAGCAAGCAGGTGATGCCAATGTTCTAAAGATTGAGTGGCTCTGAGTAAAGATGATTGACTCTCTGTACCCTGTGTACTGCACATGGTTGGGTCTCTGGAGTGGACTCTGGAGTCTGGAGTGTCGTGTAGGGGAAATGTCGCGCTATGATGTCTTTTGGAAATCGGAAATCACATTGCTTTTGCTTCTACATGACATGTGTTTCGCGATGATGTCTCGGGTCGGAGTAAGATAGTGAGATAGTGAAAGTCATGTTCCTGTCAAAAAGTTTGAAAGCTTGGGCTATCGCCTTGCTTCGTATAATATATTATTATTTTAAATTAGAGTTCGTCCTTCGTGTTGAGTAGATCTAAGTCTAAAGGCGGCGCATTGTGTTCTGCTATGTTGAGCATTCAACGGAATACGGCAATTTAGAGTACCTCGTAAAACTCTGATACATACACGGAGAAGCAGCCAAGTCAGTGTGATGTCGAGCCGTGTGGAAGCGGACCGGACCTTTCCACCTGTTTTCCTGCACTGGTGCATCTGGTAAAGAGATGTAGATCGTACCATTGACGATCTTTGCCTGTGGGAATGGCTTGTGGGATACCGCTGTCATTGCATCTGAAGATCCGCTGTCACTTCGTGGACAGCGCACTGCGCAAAGCCGTCGTCTAGCTCTGAACATTGATCGCGAATCACGAGTGTTGATTGACACAAATCGTAAGGCGTCCTCTGTTCGCAACACATCTAATCGATGTATGACTTCGCGAGTAAATCCGACTCGAGTACAGTAATATCTGAGATCAACTGCATGTAGTTTGAGAGACACCTGCCTTTGTGGATCGAAGTGGATCAGGACAGGGCTAGGGATGTAATGCGGAAGGTTGGATACTGAACGTTTCAGCCAGCGATTTTTGGCCATCTAACATGGGGGGGGGGGGGTACCAGCTGATTTTTGCAAAAAATCAAAGATTAATCATTTTTACGTTGAGATTAAGGTGAGTTGCTATCATTCTTCTGCGATTTACTGCCGCTAGCCCCACATTTGTGATACTAAATCCGCGTGGGTGGAAAGCTCACGCGCAAAGCAACATTTTGGTACCAAACATTCCTTGGTTGGAGGAAGGAGAAGGAAGTTGCTTTCTGTTTTGGCGCAGTGGAATTATAGACTGAAATTGCTGTCAGTATATTGTTAGCTACCTTCATCACGCTCGTGGTAAGTCTTCTGGAGTTATTCAGTCACCACTCGAGGTTTTCCTCGCATCCTCGGGTAGTTGTCCTTTATATTTTTCGCAAGTTCTTTTGAATACGATGGTGAACTCAAAAATACGATGGGCCTTTACTTTTCTCTGTTTCCAGTGGAAGATATACACATCTGCGACGCATCGCACGACATGGAGCACCATGCAGCGCATTTTCAGCATCTATGCCGTGTTGGAGGCGCAGAATTTCCTGCGTGCTCCCAACAGACGAGATATCCAGTGTCTGACTACAGCGAAACGATGAAGAATGTATTCAGTGTTAACTGGTTTGAGGGAAAGAGATTCAGTATTGATGTTTGTAATGACGACCCTACCATTCACCCAACATATATCTGTGCTCTTTGCCAAAGAGTGCTGAAGAGATCAAAGAGCACAGAAAAGTTCAATCCCTGTGGTGGTGGTTGTGGACAAGGGGTAACATTTAGTTGGAAAAGACATGAACCTGTGAATTGCCGAGTCTGCACCAAGTTTCAAGAAAAATAGAAGGGTGGCCGACCAAGCAAACGGATAAAAACAGCAAGCGGAGCAGCAAAAATGACATCAAGAAGTAGCAGTGCAGGTGCATCTAGCAATGGCATGGACATAATCTGAAAGTGACGTGCATGACATATCTGCACCTGATTATGAAGCAGAGTGCGATTTGACTATGTCAAGATTTGCCGACAGCAGTGCAGCAGCCACAGTACAATGCAAGATCTGCCGCAGCATGCCGAGCAATGGTGTTCAGTCACCATGCTGTTCTAGAGTATTTTGCACGAAATGCATATGCCAAGCATTAACCAACCGCGCACATGAATCTGCGGTGTATCAAGAGTGCACACATCAGGGACCGCGCCGTAGGGTGCGTTATGCCGAGGTTAACGTTATGTAGGACTAAACTGACCTAAACTGCCTAGCTACAGCTACCGCTTGATCGTACCGTGCACGTGAATGTATGTTGTATCGAGAGTGCGCACGCCGGGGACCGTGCAGTAGCGTGTGTTATGTTTATGTTATGTAGGATTATGTTGTGTAGACCAAAATTTGTATGAGAGTGATGCTGTTTCGGCGCGGGATTTGATTTTTTATGTACAATGTACTAGCGAGGTTTAAGTACAAGTGAGAGTTGTTATATCGAGAGCAGACCTGTAATAAGAGAGTGATAAATGTAATTATCGGTCATCTACTCTTACTACCGTACTTTATACTTCGAAGTAGACACTCGTAATACACCCAATGAGGTCAATGCGGCGAATACTGCGATTGTCGAATGAACCGTAAAATGCAGTGTATATGATTGTATGAATTGTGTGACAATAAATTTGGATGCGGCTTGTACTCCAGTGCGGCTTTTACTTTGGAAAATACTGTATGTCTAGCTCATTGGAACAGGAGCTCTCTAATGCATCTTGCCTCTACGATCAGAACTGACTATGGACTTCACCCTTACCCAAACTGTCAGTGGAGCTGGCTGTGTGTGTTGGAGTGGGGGGGGGGGGGGGATTGTAGTGAAGGCGGGGCTGAATAACATGTCCAATTCTACCCCGGAATTAATACCGGCAAATGTTGTCAGCATGGTTTGTTAGCAGCATCACTGCTTCATAGTTATGACTTCTGCTTGAAGACTCACAGGAGTGTTTGGCCTTTGGTCCCCTTTTCATTTTGCGTACAGCTGAAGACAAAGCAAACATTGATCTGAAAACGCTCTGGATCAGCCGAACACAATCCAAGCACAGTGTATGGGATCCTGGAAAACGTTTCCTCGTGGGAAATATGGATGCAGCCAATGGGACTTTCGGTCATTGACCACTTCCGTGCGAGCTGCATCTACGCCGTGATCCTTGCGCGTTTTGGCGTTCCTACAGATGCGGAAAGCTCCGTCTCACTGAGTCTCATGCAAACCATGAAATACCAACCAGGACCAAGGGGTGCTGCATCCAGTCGAATGACCCTGGATAGGGAGACCACCTGTACATTTTTTAAGTTCCCCTGCATGAGCGGTTGTATTAGACAGGTTTCGCTGTACACGTACTTAGAAAATACATTCTCTTGTGTCTTCTGCCTGCATGTAGGTGCTGGTTGGCCTCAGCATCGTTACTATGGCAGCGGTCTCAACGGGATTGATCTCTGCTTAAACTGCAACACTAGCGGCGGTTTCGAGCGCTATCCGTTCAAGGAGTATGCCGACACGCTGGGAGAGTTCATGATGGACGCTCGTCTCAACTGGCAGAACTCGCCACGCTTCTACTGGCTGCGCGAACACTCGGTGAGTGGATTTCCTATTCCCGTTGCTGGGTCTTACCCTTGGGTGTTGGAAGTTATTCTACGTTGAGGTGACTATGAAAAACCGGGGTAGGGGGGGGGGGGTGCGGGGCCTCCCGCAGAAACAGTTTGGGAAACGTGGGCCCAAATGGTCCGTATTTCAGTGTTTCAAAAACCACAGGATAAAGTTATCGTTGCGGGTTTGGCTGCACCTGCCTGCGAATTATCAGAGACATTTATGTGGGAATCGTATTGACAGAAATCGGTCCTGGAAAAACTTCTAATTACTAGTAAGCGGTATGTTCGAATTAAGCCATATTCAAATTATCAGGATTCCACCTGTATAATTATGTGATTTTTTTGCAGGAAATCATATTGTATGAAATCACTATCTCACCCATCGGCGCCCCACACATCACTGAAAGGATATCCAAGTATCTGGAGAAGAACAATCGTCCACTGAAAGAGGCCTACATGGGTCGAGTTCTTGGTAAGGAGCTGTGGATACAATTGTGTATTACTAAAGCATACACATCCATCTCCTGTAAATTCTGATCCTTTTTGTCAATTTTTTCCAAGTCGAGTTCGATTATGCACTGCAGGTCGGGTTTTGTTTGTCTATGTACTCTGGTTTTAATCTTACTATGGGGCTGAAAAGAGGCTTATGTTTGTGTGTGCATGTGTGTGTTTGTGTGTGTGTACGCGCGCACGTGTGTGTGTGTGTGTGTGTGTGCGTGCATTCATGCATGCATGTGTGCATGTGTGAATGTGTATGTGAATGGTATGCACGTATTATCATCTTACCCAACTTAGATCACAGCTTTCAGATTTCCTGTAGCAATGTGTCCAGTCAACCTGAGCTCTGGTCCGTCTACTATAACATGACCATAACGTACCCAATCCGCAAAACCCTCATAGTGCGTGTACTGCAGACAGTGGTGTGCAATACAATGGGTAAGCCTGTGTTTAGTCTCTTTACTTCTGTGCGCAGTATATCTCTCTATCCCTGTTTGTCTCTCTCTATTTGTCTCTATCTCTATTTCTGTCTCTGTCGCTGCATCTCTCTCTACCTCTCTCTACCTCTCTCTCTCTCTCTCTCTCTCTCTCTCTCTCTGTCTCTGTCTCTGTCTCTCTCTCTCTCTCTCTCTCTCTCTCTCTCTCTCTCTCTCTCTCTCTCTCTCTCTCTCTCTCTCTCTCTCTCTCTCTCTCTCTCTCTCTCTCTCTCTCTCTCTCTCTCTCTCTCTCTCTCTCTCTCACCAAGGCAGTCAGTCGTTTTTGGCATGCACTTCTTTATGTTGCTTCCAACTTGGTCAATTTCATGTTGCCCGGTTTTCCACCTGTTGAGAAATAATCAAAACTACTCGTGGAGACTTCGACCATGTTGCTTGTGAGGAGCCAGGGTCTTGTTAATTTCTTGAGAGTCATTGTGTTTGTTGTCAACGTGGAAACTCCTTGGGTTACGGGTGGTTTGTTGTGAAATTCTGATGTCCCAATGGGCTTTGTACTGGTTTGTGGTGATCCACTTCAGGCCCACCATCAAGTGTGGTCACAACGCAAGAGGTTACTGCCATTCCGGCAACCAGCACTGTCCGCCAGGCACCTGCCACCGGCACCACGGCTCAAAAGAAAGACGATGTGTTTATTGTCCTCTTGATAGCCATAGCCGGCATTGCTGTATCCGTGGCGGCCATCCTTGTCTTTGTCATTTACTATAGAAAGAACAGAAAGTAAGAGGATTGGGTGGATCCGAGTCTTCTTCGGCTGGGTTTCATTTACCCTGGGTTTTGAACTTCTGTTAAGCGGCAGTGAAGATTTGGTGAAGGTAGAGAAAGAAAGAGAGAGAGAGAGAGAGAGAGAGAGAGAGAGAGAGAGAGAGAGAGAGAGAGACAGAGAAAGAGAGAGAGAGACAGAGAGGCAGAGAGACAGACAGAGAGAGAGACAGACAGAGGAAGAGGGGGAGGGGGAGGGGGGAGGGAAGGGGGAGGAGGAGGAGGAGGGGGAGAGGAGGGGGAGGGGAGGGAGAGGGGAGGGGAGGGAGAGGCGAGGGAGGGAGGGAGAGAGGGGAGAGGGAGAGGGAGGGAAGAAAGAGATGGAGAGCAAACAGTGCAGTGTATGTTAGCAATCTAATTTTGTTTGAAGACCTCATTAACTGAGCAGGGAAGAAGTAGTACTGGATCCTACATCTTGATCTCAACTTACTTTCTTTGTGGAATCCTTCGGATCTTCAACTGATTGCTTGATGTTTGCTTTGCTGCCTATTCTTATAGGATGAGGAAGAAGCAGATTCAGCGCAAGAATGAAAATGGTATGATCAGTTCCGCCATCATGTTTTCTGGCCTCGTTTGAACCAGTTATGAAGTCGTTAAGTGTGTATTGTGATTGCAGCAGGGGGGGGGGAGATTGTTTGCTGGTATGTGGTTAGGTTTACAGGGTTGTTCTGAAAGTCTCTTTCAAATGAACTCAATTCACCTAGCTCAATCCACCCTGTATCTGCTCGGTCAATAACTACCACAAAATGTTGTGCTTTTCCACGGGAGAATGGCATCACTAAGCCTTATTGGTTTAGAATTGCCCTGTTTCTATTAAAGGTTACTATTGAAGGCTACTATTGAAGGTTACTATTGAAGGCCCTTCCTTTGTGAATAATAAGGTCCTCTCCATCTCCATGCAGTACGACAGGACACATGCTAATGGCGGTGGCTTGAAGAGTCCATGCTTGTGCTGCCGTGGTGGCTGGCCAGGGTTTGTTAGATTGCAGCCACAGGACTGTTCTGTGTGTTTGCGCTGCTACTTCAATCCTTGTGTGTACTTATTTCCAAAAAGTGTCCGCGTAGACAGAAATGAAATCAACGCAATAAGTAAAGCAAGTTGCGCAACACACACTGGCGGGCTTTGTCTGCGCAGACGCCGAGACCTTCAAGGTCGACAGAGCAGCCAGGCCACGCCACCACTTCTCGTGCATATCCGGGATTATAGTGGACTTTAAAAAAATAAAGGGTTTGCTCCCCACACTGGAGCTCACGCTATTCCAGTGTGGGGAGCAAACCCTTTCTTACAAATCATCACCGAAGTCGCAACCACTACTTCGTACTATAGTGGACTTTCGTATAATAATTTTTTTTTAACCCATTCACACAGGTTGGGTTTCCTTCAACGGTTTCGTTGCCATCTCTTCAGAAGGATTTTACTGGCTCTTCATTTTTCCGATTCTTTTGTTTTGTTTTTACCGGGTAGGTCGTCGTCGCCAACAAGCTCATCCGTTTGCAGACTGTTTGATCGGCGCTGGGGAGGTTGTATCCGAGAATGAGATTGGAAAAGGTAAGCAATGCATTGAGTGATATCCAAATGTACTGACGGCCACTGAAACTGTTTTCCATGAAATGCGCATCAATTTTGCTGATGTGTATTGAGGCTCCTGCCAGAAATTCTGCAATTTGTGGAATGAAAAATATGGGTTGAGACAGGATAATGAACTTCAAAAACAAGAGAGGAATAGATGTAGGCAAATGATGCAAAGAACAGCACTTACTATACCGACCAACAACGCAGTTTAGCCTTTCTTGGTTTCCGCGGCACCTGCCTGTTCTCTGTTTCAACTGTTTCCATGTGTTCATCTCTGTGTTCATATGTATGTGCTCCTGCGCACGTGTGTCCATGTCCATGCTTCTTGTACTAGTATTTGTATGTGTGCTCTCATGATCCTTTGCAGGTGCATTTGGTGTTGTCTACCTTGGAACATACCAGGGAGAGAGTGTGGCTATCAAAACAATGAGAGGTACGGGGAAGTTCATTTGCTGTTTAAATTTTGTTCACATGTCCTATTTTACGAAGAGGACGTAACCAAGAGTGTGACACTCGACTATTCCCAAACCCACGACGGACATTTCGGGACATCAGTGTTTCGCTGCTATTTGATTCACTGTCGCCATCATGCTAAGCAGTGCTATCCAGAGATACAGTGAAACCTGTCTAAGACGACCGCTCAAGAGACCTTCAAAACATGGTCTCAGTTACCAGGTGGTCTCCTTATCCAGGGTCATTTGACTGGGAATAGCATCCCTTGGTCCTGGCCTCAGTGGTCTTCTAGGACAAGTGGTCGCCTTATCCGAGTGGTCGCCTTCTAAGACCAAGTCTACTCATAGACTTCACCTGACTGTGTGCAACCGGGTCTGAAATCCTCCTTTGCTTGTGAAGAATTTGTTCTATTTCGTGCTTGATGAATCAAATGTTTGCCCAATGGATATCGAGAGCGTGTTGATCGATAAATACAATTTAAAAGTTGCCTGATGATTGAATTGTGCTAGAAACTATGAGTTGTGTTGAACTCTGTAAACCTCTTTTGTGCCTTTTTGTGTGTTATAGTGCTCCACATTATTGTGTTGAGTGCTGCACATTATTGTGTTGAGTGCTCTCCGTAGGCTAAACGAAATATCCTCATTCTAAATACAAATTTCTGCATTTTTCTGTTTTTTTTTGTTCCTGCAGTGAACGGATCTATCACCGAACAGCAGGTCTACAACTTTCTCCAGGAGGCCGTCACCATGAAGCAGTTCAACCACGCCAACCTGCTCAACTTGATCGGTGTCTGTCTGCCGGAGAACGCCTCTCCGCAGATCATTGTGCCGTACATGGACCGGGGTGATCTGCATACGTTCCTGCGCAACCACAACGCATCCGTGCCCAAGCCGTTCCGTACGTCCGAGTCCGACCAGGATACGGTGAGTGAATCCCTGCGGCCGCGGACCTACTTACCGTATCTTCCCGGGTACATGTGTACACCACTGTAGATGCCGCACAAACTACAGACCTCTCTCTCTACCCTGTTTATCATCAGAGCCAAGGATTAAAATTAAAACAGAGGACCATAAGTTTACAAGTTATCCGTTTTGTCCAACACTAACACGGTCAACAGTATTCTGCTTATAATCGTTAGTGTTGGGCAAAACGGATAACTTGTAAACTTATGGTCCTCTTTTTTACTATCATCAATTTGACCATGGTTGTATAAGCCGACATTTTTTGGGCGAATTAATAGTGTTTAAAGTGCGACTTATACTCTGAAAAAAAGGTACCTTCTTACCAGTAGCGATAGTGATGTGCACTCGGTTTCATTGTGTCACAAACGGTTGAGCACATGGAGCATAGAAGCCAGTGAAAATTCCGCTGAGGGCTTTCGCACCATTACTCATCAAAATATGTCCCTTAAGGCCTTCATCTGCTGCTTAAAGTTTACTTAGTCTTGCCCATACAGTCAGTCAGCTTTGCGAATGACCCGTGTCCGTGAAAGTGTCGTTATTCACGAGTTGTCGTTATTCGTGAGGTTGACAGCATGCAGTCAAATGGTCACTTGGTTTGAAGACTGGGTTGCAAGTTGGTACCCCAAACAAACAGATTGCCTTTAGCCAGCGGAGAGGGATCCACGCAATAATGTGGATCACTATTATTATAATCGCAAGTCGCCTAGTGATTGTTTTGAGCAAGAAACTCGGAGTTGCCACAAACTCTAAAACCTCCTTTGTACATTGTATGGGTGTGCTGATACACTGCAGGAGGAGCTGAGTAGCAATGAGCTATATGCTGTCATGCTGCAAGTGGCCTTGGCCATGGACTATCTCAGTTCAAAGAATTTCGTTCACAGGGATCTGGCAGCTCGCAATTGCATGTAAGTGAGGTGTGCTGAGTTGTTCATGCTGTTACGGAATCTCAGCCATTCCGTTCCCCGGGACACAGGACACAAAGGACAAGACTAGTTTGTTTTACATTATATTGCTGACATGACGGAAATGAAGACTACACTGAAAGAGACAAACAAGAAGACTGACAAAAGGACTCTCAACTACAGAATCACGCATGCTCATTCGCACATGCAGCGACTAGACGAGACAGTTTGGGGAATGCCATCACACAGGAAAACAACACATCATTTCACAACAATGCAGTACACACCCAGTACGTTGTACTGGTTTGGTGCTGTCACTACCATCATCGCCAATGCCACAGCTGGTGCCACCACCACCTCCACCACCATCGCACCCACAGCAACGCCACCAACACCACACCCACACCACCACCACTGCTGCCACCACCACCGTCGCCGCCACCACCATGACCACCACCACCACACCATTACCACCACCACCACCACCACCACCACCATGACCACGTACTTCCGTATAGCCGTCTCTGTGTATATGTATGACTCATTCTTTCCACGTCAATCTCTGTGTCAAAGTCGTAATCACTGTGTTTATGTATGCATGTGCGCATCTCGATCATGAACAAACGCATACACAGGTGCACACAAGAGACTCGATTTATCATTTACTGACATTTAGTCCTTTAGCACTTCATTAAAAAAATATCGATCCTCTGCATAAACATGTGTATGTTCGTATTGGGGGGGGGGGGGTTTGGGGAAAGATTAACAAAAATAATATCGTCTTGAAAAAATATCGATATTTACGGACGGCCCCTAACCAGTAAAGATCTTCAACACTTGTATTTTACAAGCATGACTATAGTGGTCCCTTTATAACCCAGCATCATGTGTGCTACGCAAACTCTGCTGGATAAGGGAGGGTGCTGGATTAGGGAGGGTGCTGGATTAGGGAGGGTGCTGGAATAGGGAGGGTGCTGGATTAGGGAGGGTGCTGGATTAGGGAGGGTGCTGGAATAGGGAGGGTGCTGGATTAGGGAGGGTGCTGGATTAGGGAGGGTGTTGGATTAGGGAGGGTGTTGGATTAGGGAGGGTGCTGGATTAGGGAGGGTGCTGGATTAGGGAGGGTGCTGGATTAGGGAGGGTGCTGGAATAGGGAGGGTGCTGGATTAGGGAGGGTGCTGGATTAGGGAGGGTGCTGGAATAGGGAGGGTGCTGGATTAGGGAGGGTGCTGGATTAGGGAGGGTGTTGGATTAGGGAGGGTGTTGGATTAGGGAGGGTGCTGGATTAGGGAGGGTGCTGGATTAGGGAGGGTGCTGGATTAGGGAGGGTGCTGGATTAGGGAGGGTGATGGAATAGGGAGGGTGCTGGAATAGGGAGGGTGATGGAATAGGGAGGGTGCTGGAATAGGGAGGGTGCTGGAATAGGGAGGGTGCTGGATTAGGGAGGGTGCTGGATTAGGGAGGGTGCTGGATTAGGGAGGGTGCTGGATTAGGGAGGGTGCTGGATTAGGGAGGGTGCTGGAATAGGGAGGGTGCTGGAATAGGGAGGGTGATGGAATAGGGAGGGTGCTGGAATAGGGAGGGTGCTAGAATTGGGAGGGTGCTGGAATAGGGAGGGTGCTGGAATAGGGAGGGTGATGGAATAGGGAGGGTGCTGGATTAGGGACTGTGCTGGATTAGAAAATATGATTTGCTGCTGCCAATGTGCATGAAAAGGACATCTTGGTTGCTGAAAATTGCACTGGTTTATAGAGGCTGCTGGTTTATAAAGTGCTGGATTAGAGAGGGACGACTGTATCACCTTTTGTCCTGTCTACACACAGGCTGGACCGTGACCTGATAGTGAAGGTTGGTGACTTTGGTCTGGGGCGTCACATGTACGATGAAGAGTACTATCGTGCTAACAGCGAGTTCATGCTGCCCGTCAAGTGGATGGCTCCGGAGAGCCTGCGCTACTACAAGTTCACCTCCAAATCAGATGTGGTAAGTTGTGTTGATAAGCTTGTACCAATCCCCGCGCAACGCTCTCTGTGTTTATCGCAGTTAGAACACTCTGACCTTGGTGCTTTGAACTGGTTTAGAATGCTTTTTTTGTTTGTTTGGCAGATTTCATTGAGACCGGTTTGGTTCGTAACCTGACCTCTGCTGGAGAGACCTAACAAGTTCGAAACAGTTAACTCTCCGGAGATGCCTACTTAAAGAAGTAGTACCATCCCTTTGTATTTTCTAGCACCCCGACACTCCCTCGTGTTTGCAAGATGTAGGCCATACCAAGTTTGAGTAAAGGGATTGCTTTACTGGCTTAGTGGCTCTGCTATCATATCCTTTGGTGTATCAGCTCATCAACTCTCATTGTGATTTGGTAGCAGGGAACTGCAAAATAAACCTGCAGCTCAATATTGAATCCATACTCTGCAAATGTCATGAGGCGAACATTTTCTCCATCAATGTCCAGTGGTCTGAGGAACCTCGCGACTCAGTAATCCCCCCCCCCCCCCTCCCGTCAGTTATGTGCCGTTCTGTCACACTCTCTGACTGTGTATGATCTGGCTACGCCGCTGGACAGTTAGTTATAACTCTTTTAAAGCACGTTAAGATGGTTGCTCCAACGAGTCTAAGTTCTTAACACATTGTCCCATCTTCACTTTGCAATGATTATACTGGCTCACCATCTGAGTACGAAGGAAAAATTATACTCGGCGATTTCGGCTTATGAAGTCATTCATGACAGTTCTGTCTTGTGTACTTGCGTTGCCCTTGTGAACAGTGGTCGTTTGGAGTGCTGATGTGGGAGGTTGAATCCCTCGGCCGCATTCCCTACCCGGGTATCAGCAATGCCGAGATTGCCGACTTCGTCTCCGATGGCAACCGATTGTCCCAGCCCGATAGATGCCCAGATCAACTGTAAGTGATTTCTGTAGGAAGACATTGTATTGGAACTGTCACAAGTAGTTCACAAGCCAGGGCATGCACCTCCGTACGTAGGAGGGAATCCCT